AGGAAGCAAGATGACAAGGCAGAATTGAGAAAAGGTACCAAGCCACATGGCTAAACATAGGTAAGAATTATGGGTTAATTTAAGTGTAAGAACTAGTAAGTAATAAGCCTGAGCTAATGGCCAAGCAGTTATAACTAATATAAGCCTCTGAGTGATTATTTTATAAGCATCACAGGACCTCAAGACCGGGTGGTATCCGAGAAACCTTACAGCTACAATCATTTCTTCATTTAGCCACTCAACAATATTTGTTGCTAGCCTATTGTGTACCAGGTGGCATTCTAAAGCTGTTGATTCAGTGAGGGAGAAATGCAGTACCAGTTCTCATATGTTTATAGCCTCACTAGGAAAATGAAACAAAACCAACAGTTACAACTAAATATAAGAATTAAAAAGGTAGAGAACTGAAAAGATAGAGAACTAGCTCAATAGTTAAGAGCAGTGGCTGCTCTTCCAGAGGACCTGTTTTTGATTCCCTGCACCCACATGGCAGTTCACAACAGTTTATAACTCCATTTCCAGGAGTTCTGATGTTCTCCTCTTTCTTCCATGGCCACTAGGCATGGCCATAGTACACAGACACGCATGCAGGCAAAACTCATATACGTAAAATAATAAAAACAAAAATTTAAAGACTTATATTTTCTGTGTAAGTGGCAACCATTATAAGTTCATGGAGGAGCTTACTATTTTGCTTGGCTTTATGTATTAGCAAGTATTGAATGAAAACATTGGTGAAACACACTCATCTGTCTTTTTAGGAAAATGAGGATATTTCTCAGAGGCTGAGGCTGAAACATGATTTTGTTAGTCACAGGCATACTGAAGAAGAAAGCAACATATAAGGTCACATAGGCTAGAAAGGTGTGGTATATTGGATCAGTTCCATTTTGTTATTATAACAAGACATGTAAAAAGAGGCTGGTGATGAGGCCAGATAGTAGCCAAAGACCTGTGTCCCTGGTCTACTAGAGCAAGTAGTGTATATTTTGTTCCATAGTGAAATATCACTGAAGAATTCATGCTGTTTTCTTCAGTTACAGAATAAAACGTACTAAATCAGAAATTAAAATGACTAAGTAAAAGATAACATTAGCACAAATTTTTATACTTTGCAAAAGGGCTTTCATTCCGATCTGTACAGTAGTTGTATAAAGCATAGTTATTATCTTTAAGTTATAAATGAGGACATTAACCACAGTAAAATTTGCTTCTTCCATTCTGTTGTTCATTTTTCAGATGTAGAGACACTGTTCTAGACACTGGGGTATTGAATACAATACCCCAAACAAATGTCCCCTCTTAATAGAGCGTACACTCTTGTAAAATGATCTGCCCATCCCAAAGGAGATGGACCTAGAGTCCAACACAGATGGTCTGATTCAAAATGTGTCTTTCTGCTTGATGACCCAATCTGTAAAGACAAGTAAACAACTGCATCTAAAACATCATTTAATCTATTTGGTTTAAATAATGCTCCTGGCTCTGTAATTAGCTCTTTTTTTTCTCCCACTGCCCAACCTGCTAACTTCTGATGTACAGAGGAAATGGATAACAGTTTAAATCTAATCGTTGGGGAATCCTCATTATTTAAATTTCTTCCTCTTAACCTGGCTGCTCCTAGAATCTACTTGAATTATTTTAATGCGTGACTAATAAGTAACTATAAACTTTGATTTCTGGGCTTGTAGGGTATATATGCATTTGTGCCTGTATGTAGATATGTGGGCACACTTGTGCACTTGTGTCTGTGAGGCCAGAGGTTGGAACTGGGTGCCTTCCGCTATTACGTCTTAATTATATCCACTCCCATGTCCTCTGTACTCCTGCCCTATACACCCCCTTTCCATTTTCATGTCTTCTTATTTTTATAACTCCCAGAATCCAATTAGTGCTTCCTACATGCACGTGGGAGTGGGGCCATGCACCAGAGCTTGGGCATGTTAGCAGCAGTCCACACTTCTTCATCTTATTTTTTGAGACAGTGTCTCTCACTTAACCTGAAACTGATGGACTGGCTTGATGGGCTGGCCAAGGAACTCTAGGATCTGTTTGTCTCCATTCTTTCTCACCTACACAGCATAGGCATCACAGACCCATAACGACACTCCCAGCTTTTATATGGGTGTTGAGAATCCAAAGCCACTGAGCCACTCAAGCCCCCTACATTTGGATTGTTTTTGCAATAGAAAAAAGATACAATTTTCAAGTTTAATTCAGATATCATAGAAAAGTTTCTAGCAGTTTAGGGATTGTTATAATAAATAACTGTTTATTAAACTTGGAGCAGTACCTTGAGGATAACACTGTGGATGTTATGGCCTTTCGGAGGAGGGCAAAGGAATTACTGCAACTAGCAGCCAATACATTATAGAAATTGGGAGTACCCTTCTGGCTGAGCAGTGGAACTTGTCTAGGTAAAAATGCTTTCCTTTTATCTCCATCTCTTCCTTTTGACTTTAGGAGTGAATGTTTGAGGTGATCAGACATCAGTGATATCGGAACTCTAATATTTATAAGCTGAACAAACATTAATGTAGAAGCAAAGATGTGTTGACACCTTTAAAGAAAGTAATTGATGAAATATACAATAGATCTTTTTGAAGACTTATTTATTTATGTATTATATGTTGAGAAGTGCTCTACATATAATTTGAATGTACACCTGTGTGCTAGAAGAAGGTATCAGATCCCATTATAGATAGTTGTGAGCCACCATGTGGTTGCTGGGAATTGAATTCAGGTCCTCTGGAGGAGCAGCCAGTGCTCCTAACTCCTGAGCCATCTCTCCAGCCCTATAAAATAGAATTGTAAGGCCACTTGTATTTACTAAAAGATATAATAATGTGTATAAATTTACATTAGACATGTAGAGTATGTTTGGTTTTCAGGTAATCCTTAAATTAGCATTTTGCTATTTCTATCTCCAAGATTATTATTGCTTTAAATTGAAATATTGCAGAAAACGTTTCTAGTGAGAGGAAGATTGACAGGCATGCTTTAAGGTCACCCATAACTTCCAGATCATTGAGAGCATCACTGGTTAGGCATCACTGTTCACCTGAGATGGGGAAAGATGCTTTTTGTAGTTTTAAACAGGCAGCTATTAGAATCTGAGAAAGGGTTCCAGATACCCCACTCATTACGTCAGCTTCTTGGACTTTAGTATTGTTTAGACCCTTAAGATTGTTGCATTTAGGCCGGGCGGTGGTGGCGCACGCCTTTAATCCCAGCACTCGGGAGGCAGAGCCAGGCGGATCTCTGTGAGTTCGAGGCCAGCCTGGGCTACCAAGT